AGAGAGGAGAGAGAGAGAGAGAAGAGAGAGAGAGAGATAGAGAAGGGGGAAAGAGAGGATAGAGAGAGAGAGAGGGAAAGAAAAAGAATAGATAGAGAGAAAGAGAAGGGGAAGAGAGAGAAGATAGAGAGAGAGAGAAGAAGGGGAGAGAGAGGAGAGAGAAGAAGGGGAAGAGAGAGAGAGGAGAGAGAAGCAGAGAGAAAAAGAGAGAGAAGAGAAGGAGGAGAGACAGAGAGAGAAGAGAGAGAGAGAGAAGAGAGGAAGAGAGAGAGACGAAAGGAGAAGAGAGAGAGAGAGAGAGGAGAAGAGAGAAGAGAGAGGAGAGAGAGAAGAAAGAGAGAGAGAGAGAAGAGAGAGAGAAGAAGAGAGAGAGGAGAGATAGAGAGAGAGAGAGAGATGAGATAGAGAAACAGAGAGAGAAGAGAGAGATAGAGAGAAAGGGAGAGAGAGAGAGAGAAGGGGGGAGAGAGCTAGAGAAGAGAGAGAGAGAGAAAGAGATAGAGAGAGAGAGAAAGAGAGAGAGAAGAAAGAGAGAGAGAAGAAGAGGAAAGAGAAAGAGAGAGAGAGCTCTCCAGCTCTCTCGCCTCTCTTCTCTATTCCGTTTCTGATTTTAATCCTTAATCTTAGAAATAGTTTTCCGTGCCCATCTATTTACCTGTTTCTTCTTGTGATATTTGGAATAGATTTATACAATTCTTTCAATTACGAGTGTGGAGAGAGAGAGAGAGAGAGAGAGAGGGAGAGAGAGAGAGAGAGAGAGAGAGAGAGAGAGAGAGAGAGAGAGAGAGAGATAGAGAGAGAGGGGAGAAAGAGAGATAGATAGATAGATAGATAGAGAGAGAGAGAGAGAGAGAGAGAGAGAGAGAGAGAGAGAGAGAGAGAGAGAGAGAGAGAGAGAGAAAGAAAGAGAGGGAGGGAGAGAGAGAGAGAGAGAGAGAAGTAGAGAGAGAGGGGAGAGAGAGAGGAGAGAGAGAGGAGGGGGGGGGAGAAGAGAGAGAGAAATAGAGCCAGAGAGAGAGAAAGAGAGAGAGAGAGAGAGAGAGAGAGAGAGAAAGAGAGAGAGGAGAGAGAGAGAGAGAGAGAGAGAGAGAGAGAGAGAGAGAGAGAGAGAGGAGGAGGAGAGGGAGAAGGAGAGAAGGGAAGAGGAGGAGGCTGAATGGAAAGGCCTTTTTCTCTTTCCCCTTTTCTCTTTTCTTCTCTTTGTCTTTCTCCTTCTCCTTAACCTCCTCTTTCCCTTTGCCCTTTTCCTTCTCCTCCTCTTTCTCTATCCCCTCCCCCTCCCCCCTCCCCCCGCTCTTTCCTTAACATCAGCCCGAGAGAGGGGAGGGCAATGGGGGAGGGGGTTGGGGGTGATTGAGGGGTGGGGTTGGTGTGATTGGGGGGGAGGGGGGGAGGGTGACTAATAGCCATTTCAAGGCCTTCGCGCATTCCCGGCGGCGTCCGTCCAGGTGCGTACGGACACGGACAGATACAAACGCTCTTACGCATTCGGTGTCGCGCACTCACGGTAACACGGACCTCTGTCTATCTGTCTCTTTTTATCGATCTATCTGCCCCTCCTTCTCTCTGTCTGTCTATCTGTCTATCTGTCTCTTTTTATCGATCTATCACACAAACATATACTGTATATATGCATATGCATACAAACACATACATGCAAATGCATACATAATACACACACATACACATATATGTATGTATGTGTGTGTGTATGTGCGTGTATTTATGACTCCAAGTCGAAATACATATATATGTAAAAAAAGAAAGAAAAAAAAAGAAAGAAAAAAAAAAGAGAGAGGAACAGAGAGGGGGGGGCAAGCTCATCTTCCTCCCGCCCCCCCTTCCCCTCCCCCCCTCCCCAACTCCTCCTTTTCTTCCTCCCAAAAATGTCCCCTTATCTCCCAGGTCCTCGCCCCCTCCCCCCTCCCCTCCCCCTCCCCCCATGCACCTTATCTCCGGGTCATCTCCACTTCCTACATTCCCCTCCCCTCCCCCTCCCCCCCTCCCTCCCCCTCCCCCCCTAGTTCCTTCATAAAAGAAAATAGTCGTTGTCCCTTTCCCTCTCTCTCACTTTCACTTTGTTTGTTGGCTTGTTTTACTCTCTTTTTCTCTTTTTTTTGTGTTCTGTTTTGTCCTTCTTCGCTGTCTCTCAACTTATCCTCTCACGGTCTCTCTCTCCTTCTCCTTCTCTGTCTGTCTTTGTCTCGCTCTCTCTCTCTCTTTCGCTCTCTCTCTCTCTCTCTCTCTCTCTCGTCTCTCTACCTCTCTCTCCTCTCTCTCTCTCTCTCTCTCTCTCTTCTCTCTTCTCTCTCTCTCCTCCTCTCATCTCTCTCTCTCTCTCCTTTCTCTCGCTCTCGCTCTCTCTCTCCTCTCTCTCTCTCTCTCCCCCCCCTCTCTCTCTCCTTCTCTCTCTCTCTCTCTCTCTCTCTCTCTCTCTCTCTTCTCTCTCTCTCTCTCTCTCCTCTCTCTCTCTCTCCTCTCTCTCTCTCTTTCTCTTTCT